TGGCATTAGACAGTCCTGAGCAGACTGGTTGGGCAAAGAGCAGCACGGGGGGGAGTTAATGAGGGAACATTTTACAGGCCAGCTGGGCCAGCGCTGCCAAACCCCTGCAGGGTGCCCGCATCAGAGGCTTCCTCTGCCCTGAGCTTGTGTCCAGCGAGCCCCGGAGCTGCCCCCTGCGTGGAGACGAGCTCCAAATCCCACCTTCCCGTGGCTGCGCCCTGGTGTCTGGCTCCAGAGGCTGGCATCCCAAGCACCAAGTAGGCTGGGGACAGCGGTGCCCGCGGCTCTGTTGGCACTAATGTTACCTCCCTGCAGGCCCTGCCTTGTTCTTGCTCAGCCGTGTCTCCCATCTCCCACTCTGAAGTGCTTCTGCCCCTTCTCCATGCACCCCTTCCTTTTTCCTTTCCTCTTTTTCCTCCTGGCCAGTGCCGGGCAGAGCCAAACTTGGCTTCTCCCTGCGTGGAAAACCCACCTGCTCAGTGTCCGGCTCTGGATTCAGTCTTTGCTAATGGTGCTACTATGAGCTCAGCATGGGGCTGAGAGACCCTTGGCAATGCTGATTTGGCCCCGAGTGCCATGAAGCCGCTCGTGCCAAAGGCCCACACATAACGAACATGCTAATTGCAGTGCGGCCCAGCCAACGGAAAAGCGAGAGGCCTTGTTAAACAGGGGTCTTTAAATGGAGGTTGTGCTGGAGATTAAATGACTATATTTTAGCTTGCTATATTTTGAAAATGCCCGAATCGGGGTTCTTTAGCAGTTCTCCTAGATGGAGAACAATGTGTGGATGTGAATCGTTCCCCGTCCAAAAAGTGCCCTGGGTTGAAATGGGATGAAACAGAGATGTGCAAATGGAGGAGAGGCAGGAGGAAAGGTTGGGGGCGTTGGTCTCCAGAAGCTCAGTCTGGAGCGGTGTCTTTTCTGTATGTACATGGGAGAAATGACACGAGAGCAGGGTGGTGTTTGGCTCTCGGCTTGCCTTCTCTCTCTGGTCCGGACCGATGCAGTGGTGGGTGCGGATGGAGAAAGGAAAACCAGTCGTGTGCTTTCCTCCGGGGGTGAAAGGTCCTTTTATCAGTCCATAAATCCCTCCAGGGTTTGTTTACTCTGTTTACTGCGGTTCCCTAACCTGTGAGCCTGGGTATAAATCACCGAGGGGCTTGATTTGCAGAGAGAGCTCCCTAGGGAGTGTGTGGTGTCCCCCGGAGCCCCGACTTCCATGGGGGAAGGTGACGAGCAGTGGGATTCATCTACCTGTCTGCAGCGTGATGGCACGACCATGCATGTCCCCAGCTGCCAGAAACAGGAGCCTCCTGCCTGAGGTTTTCAGTAGCACCAAACGCCCCAGAGATGAAGTCGCAGCCTGGAGATGCTCTTCACTTGTGCCCGTGTCACAGCGTGGTCCCTGTCCTCTCAGGAGTGTCTGCAGCATCGGATGCTCCAAAACCCACAGCAGAGCAGTGGCTCAGTGGAGGGAGAGGAGAGGAGAGGAGAGGACCTGCCACCCCAGGGCTTTGACCACAGCTGCATGCAAGGAGCCGAAGGTTCATAAATTCATAGATGTTAGGGTCGGAAGGGACCTCAATAGATCATCGAGTCCGACCC